GCAATCTATATAAATCATGTGATAAATAGAAGTTGTCGTGATATTAAGCGAAGCTGTATCTAATTTAACTGTCTGGAAAAGTTCGGTAGTTTATCATTTTCCTGACAGTGATACAACATTTCAAAAATGGTATAAAGATTGTCTTGAACATCTTTCATACGGATTTATGGTGTTTGAAGATTTCAGCTATTATGGTAAGTTAAACTCCTGAATGATTGAGAAAACTGTCAAGTTGAATTCTGTATGCTGTAGGCTAACTATATCATGAGAAAATCTCTCTTTATGCCCATTGGATGCCAATAAGGTACTGCTGAATCTAAATAAGGCATCTAGCGATATGTCAAAGTCAGTTTCACTGAAAGATTTAAGTTAAAATGATAATTCATCTATACCATTTACAGATATCTCCAAATGACTCTTGTGTCTCTGGATTGCCCACACAAGCCCTTGGAATTCGTCATCTGTCTAAAATTGAAAGACTTTGGGAATCTTGTACAGAGAGGGAAGCAACAAAGATCTTAGTCTATTGCACAAAATGCTCATGAAATTGACATTGCACTTCAGAGAAGCAGTCTATACTCAAATACATTTTCCGAAATGCTCAGGTTATTGAGACTTTGTTTCTAACAGTACACTCTGAGTGATAAAAGAAAGTGCTGTTTTTTATGCCTAGTTACTCATTTTTGCACGATGTCCAATACTGTCCATAGACTATGAACACCCCTATGTATATATATATACGATGTCTGAACGTGTTGGTTTTCACCAGTCGCATTCAAAACTGTAAGGGAAAAGTTTCTCACAGGTTCAATTAACCCCTCCCCCCAAAAAAGAAATATTTAGAGGTTTTCAACTTACCGGAAAACATATTAATTGCAGTATCGGTAACGTGTCCCTTAAAACATATTCATTGCAGTATTGGTAACGTGTCCCTTAAAACATATTCATTGCAGTATTGATAACGTGTCCCTTAAAACATATTAATTGCAGTATCAGTAACGTGTCCCTTAACGTCAAAATCACCACACATAAAACCAGCAATTTTCTTTTGTCAGATTCCGTTTCTCTGATGTAGATCATGGTTTAGTCAGTGATTTCAAACGACACGTTAAGAACACAATAACAAATATATAACAGCATAGGTTGAGGATATACTATTTTGCAAGGGAATTGTGCTATGTGGGACTTAGGAACATATTGCAATGTGATGAATATGTAATAAAATATAAGACAAATACATGATTAATGCTGCAGAGATCCATGAGACCCAAGTGATTTGATTCAAAATATCTTGAATTGGTGATTAAATTTCTGAACTTCTTGTCTAACTAATAAATTTCAACCAAGAATAAAAGCATAGCAGAGTCTGAAACAAACAAATAAATGTAATTATTTTGCATAATTTTTTTTTTTTTTGCATTTTATATCTGCACCCAGCTGAACTGAAGATAAAACTTTAGAGTTTCTTGAAAATTATAATCTTGAACATTTCTCACGACATACAGAAGGAGTTGAAGCACTTTAAAATATAATAAAATATGCTGTATTTATTTTTGAAAAATACTATTGTACCTAGTTAATTATTGTGTGTTTTATTACATCGCCAATTTACCATGTAGAGTTTTAATTTAGTGAATAATATATCATGATTAAATATAATATATATATACACACACGTATAGTATCACTATATATAAGACAGAGTCAAATGCCTAAGTACAATTAATAGTTTGAATATGTTTTATTAGTAAATGTAAAGTAAAATTAAAATCGCTTTATAAAGTAAAACGAGAAGGTATATTCTAATTTTTTTTAAGATTTGCTGATTCACTAATATAATCATACCATTTTCATTCATAAATGTCAATCACCGTTGCTCATCTGGCTTATTTCCTTCTAGACTGATATTAGACATAGTAGAACTTGGGCTTTAATGGAGTGCTCATTCCTGTTTCAAGACAACGTTTCGTTTTTTTAGACTGAAACTTTCTACAGATAGAAACTACATGGTATTTAAAATATTCAAAATACAAATTCTGGTAAACATTGATTTTCTTTCATATTCTCCGGTATTTTTAGTTGTTTCTAGTTCTATTTATTTATCAGTTCCTTTAAAGCTTTTCCAAATCTATTTATTCTTTCAATACTCGATTTTTGATAATATTAAACTCCCTTCCATCAGCGTCTTCTCTACGATGTTTTCACAGTTCGTTTTTACTTTCTTTCACAGTTAAGTTTTGTTGAAACTTAATACTACTTTGATATTCCATTGTAACGATCATGTGCCTTTCAAAATCTAATGTTTAGTTTATATTCTTTTATAATCTTATCTTAATTCATTAAGTTCTCTTATCAAATCTCACTTGATATTTACCTTACGTAACCTCAGTCGTCTGTCATGTAGGGCATATCATAATCAAACACTTAAATTCATTTATTTCAGTCATTTTATGTTATTATTTTCAACGCTTCTTCCAAAACGCTTCCCTTCTACCCTCAACGTTGAAGTTTCATCCTCAATGGCGATAAAACTAGTAATCTATTAATTCTAATGTGGTGCTTTTTCACAGATGTATCCTCACTTTGTTAGATCTTTTTGTGAAGTTAATTTAATGTTACTGTCACTGAGTTTATTTGGTTTCGTTTTAAAAGTCATAGATTTAATTAGAAATCTCTAGATATCATCAATAGCACTAGCATGAGTGTCACAATACTCACTGATAAACGTGAAAAGGTTATTCGTATGCCACATGCTATAAAATATCGTCGCCATTTTTTTTTCTCTTTGAAGATCGAATTTTCGAAATTAAGGTTTAAATTTCACGTTTAAATTGATATTAGTTTCCAACAGGAAATTTGTTAATAATTCTCACAGTTAATTCAATATGAAATTCAATACGATTTGGTTGTTGTTAATTGCAAAACTACATAATGAGCTTTTCACCACGGGTATTAAAACACGAATATCATCGTTATAAGTTTGGAGAGGTACCGCTGGCTGAACCACTGGGGGGTGAAATGTAATATGGCTAAATCGATGCAACGGTATGACAATAAATTCATCGTATTATATACATGTATATATATAAGTGCGTCCGTGTTTATGCATATGTATGTTATATATTTTGATAAAACCATTTGATAAATCCAGTATCATTTAGAATTAAGTATGCCCTAAAATATGACATAAATTAATTATTTGCTTTTTTTAAGGATTATTAAGACTTAAAATACCTTAAGTTTCGGTTTGTTTCTATTGTCAAAATACTAACGTTTTTTGTATGCTTGTGCTAGTGATGTTAAAAACAAGAAGCTGAATGCTGTGAAACAAGATAATCCGTACCATGGAACACAACATATGCCACTTTGACGTGGACTTGCGTACAAATAATCCTTAAAAAGAAGATTATGATAATTATTAAAATTTTTGCAACTCAAAACCCAAAATAATTATTTATTAATTTGATGTGGCTGAAAGTAAAATACATTTGTCATAAGGCTCAGTTCATCATGCTATAAAATAATTAGATAATGAGTTTTGTGAAGTAATTATAGTGATCACTTACTATAACCAAATGTGCTACAGAGCATTTTACCGTTTTAACCAATATTTCGGCTACAGTAGTGTTTCAAACATGAAGGTCATATTTTCAATCTTTCATTGTAAATGTTCATGTGAACCACATAATTCTGATTAAGTTCTTTTTGTTCTGGTAAAGTGATTAAACACGTATATGACTTTTACTTTATTATACTTGCAGCTGTACGTTATGTCATTACTTTGTTTATAA